GTCGCTAAAGCATTTAGTTTCTGCCTTCTCTTATACCCAGCCGCTCTGGTGAGCTCTTTAAGTCGTTGTGGTCGTCTATAAGCCTCAAACGCATCAGGAGAAAAATGTTGGGAACACAGCCATGGATCTTTGGGAAGTTGTGTCCGTCCACAGGCATCTTCCCACTGCTTTCTCCTCTTGTTGCCAGTGGGAAAGCTGTAAACTCACATCACTCCCCTTGTTGCCCTCTGACTGGAAATTACATCCAAAAGCAGCACATTGCGGCATTTTACTTAATTATTAATACGGCGAGCACGTAAACAAACAATAGCGTCAATAGCTATTCCTCCAAGTGCAACCAATATATGTCATCACCCCAGAGTGCATTGCTTTTGGAAAACACGGCGTCCAACGAATGTCAAAAAACTTACCAAATATTACAGATTTATAAATAAATGGCTATATTTCGTGTGTTTCTAACACCATAGTTTGCTACAACAGAAAACTTGTGGCTTATAAGGGCATAAACGTCCTCATAGCCAGAACTCATTAATATCAAAGCTGAATGTTTGTGGAAGTAGTTTTTAGTTTGTTTTTAGTTTTAGCTATTTTAGGGGGATATCTGTGTGTGCAGGTGACTATTACTGTGCATAATTATTAGGCAACTTAACAAAAAACAAATATATTCCCATTTCAATTATTTATTTTTACCAGTGAAACCAATATAACATCTGGCAGGAGATCTTACAACAGCTTTAGCATTGATGCATAGCTGGCTGAGGGACTCATGCCTCATGTAGAACACCACAAAAACTGTCTGCAAGTATTTCTCAAAATGTCACGAAGACTTGAAGCAATCAAACATATGTCTGGATAGAGTAGAGCTTGGCTATAATCTGGTAGGTTTACATTCATGTTTTCTTTTTTTACATGTATGTTCATTAACATGCAATGTCCTAAATTAATAAATTTAAAAAAGCTGCAAGCAGCGTTGTTCAGCCCTCGGAGCTCAGCGCTGCTCCCTCCTACCATGGCAGCTCACGGCGCCTGAGCATGTTCATGACACAGAAATGTCGACCCCTGAGACCCTGGAAACTGCGAACGGTCACCTCACGTACGGAGATGGTCGGTCTGAGATATGAGACTGTATGTTTTTTGGTGAAAATTCCTGCAGGAGTGTGTAAAACAGCTTGTTTAATTTAAATAAAAAATATATATTTAACTCAAAATAAATTGTAATGCTTGATTCCCACATTGATTGTTGTGGTACATCCATGGGTGGAACTTAGTGATTTCTGTCCATTTTGGGTCCCAGCCAGATTTTGGTTTACTGTTTTTCTCTCACTGCTTCCCTGCTGCTTTCTCTCTCATCATGCTCACGTATGCATGCTGCTCCTTGCTCTGCCTCTCCACTTGTCTCTCCTTCACTCACGTCTTCCACTTCAGCCTGTGTACTTGTCTATTATATTAGCGACATGTTAGATTTGTTTCAGTCACCAAAAGCAACATTAGGAGTGTAACACGCATCACGGTACAGATCACTATCACTCAGAACTTGAGGGAACTGCGTCACAATAAAGAAAAATGAGCATCTTCATCTAACGTAACCTCAACATCTTCCTCGGGTTCCTTCCTTTTCATTTCAAAATATTTTAATTTACTCATCTGAAAATGCAACCAGAAATGAGTCTCAATGAGAAAGTTACCTGACGTTAAGCTGTTTGGAACGATCTGGAATTATGCATTAACGACAAACCATACATTTCAAATGTAGCAGCATGCCGTGCATTAACATTAAGCTAATTTTCACAGGTCTGAACTAAAAATGCCTTCTTCCTAAGGTTCCTTTCTTCCACCTTTTCTCTCCCTGTAGTTTTCTTTTACTCGTGAGAGCAACACACAGCACAGAAGCCGGCTTCTTCACAGACGGGCAAAAAACGGCAGCACTGGTTTTGCAAAGTAAAATACATTTATAAGTTTCGTTATATTTAAAATAATTTTAAACTGTGATTATGGTTAGTATACATGTGCAAACATAGACTGTATATATCTCATATTTACATAATTTAATGTATATCCAAAAATTTATTCTGAAGGTATGTTGTTTGAATTTTTATTTTTTCTTATCCTTCTGAAGGTGTGGAGGCTTTTAATTCGCCGTGGCAGTGCACCATGGCAAAATACACATAGCGGAATCCCTGGGTCCTAGGCGTTGCTATTTAAGAAAATAGGCCACGCCCACCAGATTTAGGAGTTTATTTCTTTTGGGGGCTAGATTAGGATCCCTCACCAGAAATTTTGTGACAATATGAGAATTGAGGAAATGAGAGGCAAATGTATTTCTGTGGTGTGACGTCAAATTTTGCAATGCTCCCAAAGCCCCACCCTTTTTCGAAATCTGCCAATACTAGACTAGCCTGGCCTGCCAGACTTGTCCTCTGTTTAATTCTGCACAGAGAAAGAGTCTGGGAACTCACAGGCAGAGAGACGCTTGTGGGGCGGAACTAGGCAGCTCAAAAGTAACCAATCAGAAAAAAGACGAAAATGCCGACTGTACCACGTGACGCTGTAGTAAAAAAAAAATGCGTCTGGTAACGGCGCTAACATCTTAATTATTTTTAGAAGACATGCTTTTAGCATTTCTACTTGTGTTTTTAAAGACATTTGAGCCATTTAGAACAGAGGAAAGCGCCGCAGCGAACTCCGCTGCTGTTTTCGTTGTTTATTAGAACCTGAGCATCGCTGTGTGTAACGTCTGCGACACTGTAGTTTTTTTTAGCTACATTTTTTGTAGTCAAAAATGGATTCTGACGACAGCGCAAACATCTTTTTTTAGAATAAAGGCTTTTAGCGCTCCTACTTGTTGTTTTAAAGATATATCCAAGTAATTTAGACCAGAGGAAAAAGCTGCAGCGAACTCCGCATCAGTCGCCATGTTTATGACCAACTTGGCGTTGTGGTGTGTGACATACGCTACTCAGCTCTGATTGGCTCGGTTAGAATTCTCAGGGGGTGGGGTTATTTGAATAGGAGAGTTCCCAGCCCCTTTCTCTGTGCAGAATCAAACAGAGGAGGAGTCTGGCAGGCCAGGCTGGACACTAGGGGTGTAACGGTTCACGGGGGGAGAAGAACCGTTTCGGTTCAGCCTTTTCAGTTCGGTCCACTTGTGTACCATTTTGGTTCATTTTCCATTAAATAAGGAATTTATATTTGCGTGATTTAAGAGCAGCGGATAAAAGTTCCTAGGCGAGTTTCTGCACGGACGCTGTATTGAGTGACGCATGATGGCTGCACGCGCCTGAGGTGAGTTTTTAAGGCTCACTGTAGAAATAAAAACACGGAGCATCAACAGTCAAACACAACACTTGTCTGTATGAGCGTGACACTTTGGGTTGATTCCATGACAAGGGTGGAATTGTGACCTTTCAGAGTAAAACACAACCTTTACAATAATTATTTGACGTCATCATTTGACCACAATTTTTTTTCGGGGACAGATTAGGAACAACCATAGTGAGTTAGGTACCTCCATGACGTTTGATGATGAAATCATAACCATTAATAATTTTTTGGCGAGTAGATTGAAGTTTGAGGCCTGGCCCCGCCTCCTCAACATATACGAAAGTCAGGGTTTTTTATACCATTTTTGTCGCCTATCCCTCATGAGTCTTCACACAATAATTTCAACTCAATAAGTCAAAAACTGAAGGAGTAGAGCCATGAAATGCGAAACCTACAAACAGCCATTTTGGTGTCAAAATTGTAACTTCAATCCAAAATGGCCGACTTCCTGTTTTATTTTGACCATGGCTGTAAAAGACTTTTCTGTGCATCTAGGGTAGTACTACAAGTGTACCAAATTTCATAATTCTACTATGAAAAAAGTACATTAGGGTGCTGATTTTTTGTAGCTTCCAGGGGGTGCTGTCGAGCCATTTTTTGTGATTTTTGCGGGGCGTTTAAAAAACAAAAAGTTAATTTTAAACAAATAGATTAATTTGGTGTATTTAAGATATCAAATAAAGCATTATTTCCAGAAGAAACAATTGTGGTGATTCCTTCATTAGTGGGAAGCAGTCAAGATATTATTAAAACACTTTAGTTTAAACATTAATTGTTTAATGTTCGTAACCTGTTAAGAAATCATTTCATGAGTCAGAATAATATATTTTATTAAAAGGGAGTTGGATAAAAGTTTTGTCTCCTGTGAGGGGACCTTGGCTTTGAAGACCCGATAAGTCTTGAGATATTTCATTATTACTTCCTCATCGTCATGGGTGTCATGATGGGCACACTGATGAAGCAGGCCTTGTCCACGTTACACATAATTTCTTTCGTTTTTCGGCCTTGGTTTCCTCATTTTTGGCTTTGGCCAAGAATTTTCATTTCGGTGCATCCTTATTATTATTATTATTATTATTATTATTATTATTAGTAGTAGTAGTAATAGTAGTATTTCTACTACTACTACTACTATTTTATCCTGCTGCTGGTTTCCATGGTTTGGTGTCCAGCTCAGCCCAGAGCTGTTTAGGAGAAACCAGGAGTTGCTGGCAGTGTGTCTCCAGTTGCCAGAGCCCAGTGAGTCACTGGTTGTTGTTGAAAGCTGTGTTAGTCACCAGTTGTAGCCTGTAAAGGCTCTGGCTGGATGTATAACCCTCTTTTGGTTTCTGGCTTCACTCTGTAGGGTTTGGGTCTTCAGCAGGCGTCTCTGGGAGGTAAATCATTATGTCACCTACAGCTCCTGCTCCATGCAGCCCCACCCTCCACTCTTCCATCCTCACCCATCTGCTTCTTTAAAAGACCCACCATTATAAGTGTGGAATCACCAGGATTTATTGACAGTTGTTATAATCAGGTTTCACCTCAAACCCTCCTTTCATTTCCTGTCAGAAAGCATTTTTGTCTCCATTAGTCCAGTCTTTTTGAAAGGTGCTTTTATTTTCCACATGTTCCCAGGTGTGCATGCGTGCTTCCACAGGCTTTGTTCTTGTTAGTGATAAGTGTTGTTGGTTCCACAGGGTCAGGGGGCCATCACAGAAAAGCTGCGCAGCCTGAGCATGCATGATCTGTCACAGATTGACCAGCAGGAAGCCACAGGAAACCAGCTGTTCCAGTACAGCTCCCACTCATCCAACCCTGCAGTCAGGAGAACCCAGAGGTCCGACACCGCCGCCAGAGACGGTATGCACGTCAGTTACCACTTCCACAGACTTCAGTGCTAACTGACACCAGAAGAAGATACAGATTATTGTTTATAATGCTATTTGATGGAACATGGCTTTCTTGCTGCTATTTCCTAAGTCCGTGACAGTTCTTACTTTTTTGACATTTTAAGGGGGACTTAGAATGTAAACCAGCATTTTCCTTGTTGATAAAGACAGCTTGGGAGGTAAAAAGTAGCATCAAAGCGTGTGATCTACATTTTATGAAAGGTGAAAAATGCAAGAGAAAAACTCATTTTCTGGGCAAGCCGTCCTAAATATGTCATTGGGGGAGCCTGTCCTCCACAAAACTGCTTGTCTCCACCTTATGCCTGTGGTCTCCACCCACTCCAGCCTCTGCCATATTTAAACAAATCGTATTCGCAGATGGAAAAAAGACTAGCCCTAGCTCCAAGCTAGGCTCAGTGGATCAAGATTCTTTTTATTCAAAAATATACAAAAACTGCAGCAAAAAAACCCAATATTTAGGTAAATGTCTGTTTCAAACCCGCAGTTGGAGGTCATCAGCCAGCTGGGGGGTCAGCAATGAGCAGAGGGATGTTTTGGTGACTGCGCATGTGAGAAAATAAGCCATTTGACCTTTTGACTTCTCTGCTTCCTAGGTGGAAGAGGCAGAGGCATGAGTTTACATTTATTGCAAGAACACCTGAGGAATGAAAATATAAGCTCACACATTACTGCAGATAAATAATTCCTATTAGTGCTTCTTGTACTCTGCACTGAAGTCCATGTCTCAACCATTTTAGCTGCTGCGACTGTATTACGTCAAAATAAATAAAAAACTAAAACTTTGGTGTAAAGAGATGAACTGGACAGGAAGCAGCATTGATATAACGATTAAATTAGGACTGGCTACAGAAAATTGTAATGTTCACAGAGTTATTCTGATGAGTAAACATCAATATTTATTGATGCACTCAATAACAGCAATACTAAAATATGTGTGCAACATGCTGGTAAAATACTGTTTCTATGACAAAAAATTAGTGCTGTGAAAAATAACGCGTTAATTTAGTTAATTAATGTGAAATGTTTAACGCGTAAAAAAAATGTAACGTAATTACCGCAGTTTTTACAATTTTACGTAATCCGACACCTCAAACTCGTGAGCTGCTCTGAAGGAGGGGACAGCATTGCGCTATGCAGGTGTCTGACCTGCTGGAAATGATTAGAAGCAGCAGCATCAGAAAAAGAGGAGAGGAAAAGCTTGCTAGCATGCTATCCTGCTAGCATGGATACACGATCACACGATCGTTCATGTCCGCTCAGTGTTGCCAACTGTTTTTGACTGAAAGTAGCTGAAGTTCCCCCCAAAAGTCACTAGATGTCACCAAATGACGTCACGTGCTAATTTGCATACGACACAATGACGTCATCTGGTTTGCGTGATGACGTCACCACATTTGCGTCATGACGTCACCGGTCTTGTAGAGTAAATCAAATAAAACCCACATGATTTTATTTAAAAAAAATTTAATTTCTTTTTTAATATTTTATTAAAATAAAAACCCCATAGAATACAAAACAGCAGCCTTTAAAACATCAAGGAAAGATTGCACAAAAAAATGGAAGGAGTATTTATATTTTGTCGGAAGAGAATGGAACTCTTAAACACAAAAAATATTAAATTGATAGGAATGTATGTATGATTGAATTAAAAAGAATTTTCTGTTGTAGTTTTCAAGTGCCTTGAGATGTATTCTTCTGTTGTGATGCAGTGCTATATATTGACCTAAAAGATTATATATATATATATATATATATAAAATATATATAGTTTTCATTTGGTTTTGTTGTTTTTAGTACTTTTGTGTAAAAAGAAGCAGGCCGTATTTAGTATTCAGAAACGTAACATGCAAACTGCCAATGACTTACAGTATTATTCTGTTTTTATAAAAGTTTCAGATATATCTCCACTATGCGTTTTTACCTGTATAAAACAATAAGTTACACACATGTAATATTCATACATTTGATACAATTCAGATCACCTTCTAAACCCAGTCACACACCCAGGGCCATTTCAAGACATTCTGGAGGCCAAGGCCAAACAGAACACCCCCCACCCCATAACTGGGCTCCACAGAAGCCTCTGTGTAATCCATACCCTGTCCAGGAGTATTAGTTATACAGTGTTTGTAAAAGCCCCTCAGACATTACTGACATGTTCTAATATTATCAGATGAAGAACTAAATTATCACACATGCTGTCTCATCTGCTTCTTTTCTAAACTTGCAAAAAGCAACAAAACCATTTGAAAGCTACTATTTGTGGATTCTCTGAAAGTTTCCATGGAGTGTGTGACAACTCATTTTTTCATTGAGAAAATAAAGTTGGAAAAATGTCTAGAGCAGCCAGGCTAATGATCAGATAAATTGCGATTAATCACAATTAATTACAGAAAATTGTGCCATTAATTAGTTAATTTTTGTAATCGTTTGACAGCCCTATAAAAAATACAAACTTAATGTAACATTTACATGGGTGCATAATGTTGTTAACTAGCACTAATATAGTTGGCTTCTTAACAAAACTTACCACTCTGATAGTCATGTCCAGTCCCTGGCGAGCTGCTGGTTGTTCCTCAACATCTGATCTTTATTTATTTATACAATCTTTATTTTGAGTTATGTTCAAACATATAAGGTTGAAAGCCAGATTAATCCACATCTTTAACAATAGGTTAGGAAGATACTAGCTGCTACCAGCTGCTAATGCTACATGGCTTCTAGCTTCTGGCTGAGTGGAAGGCCCTCTGGGGATCCAACCAATCAGCAAGCAAATCATTATCATATTCATGTCCTGGTCGAGTGGGAGGGGTAAAAAGCTCTTTTTAGAGCTGGGCTGAATTAGTAGGGTTATGCCACTTACACACTAGCATCGGCTCCACTCCGCTTTGCTCTGAAGAAGAAGAAGAAAGTATCATTTCTATAGCGCCTCTCAAGATAAAAATCACGAGGCGCTCTGACCACCCCAGCCTGACTACGTACGTTCCACACTGCCATAGGAATGCGGACATGATTGAGCACATGAGCGGTCTTTGATCTGTGATGTCATGAGAGCATCCCCTAGCATGTAGGTGGGGCAAAAATGTAGAGAAGTCTGCGGTGTCTCCCATTATTTAACAAAAGTGGCCTGAGCAGTCTAAGTTTTGGAGACTTTCTCTGATTTAGCATTTTGCTTTGCTGTGTCTGGCAGTACAGTGTGTGTGTTTGTGTGTGTGTGTGTGCGCGCGTGTGCGTGCGTGCGTGTGCGCGCACACTTCACAGCAGTGAAAGAGAGTAAAACTGCTTCAGTCAGATTATCGTTAACTCCAAAGCATCCAGAAAGATGATGAATTGGGCATGTGGGAAGCCCCCGCAGGCTGACAATTTGCCAATTGAAAGCTCCCTCTAAAGCCTAACTTATACTTCTCCATCTGCTCTATTGTAACTCGCGCTCGCGATATCACTGCCCAGGACCGGAAATCACACAAGACCAGCTCTCCGCCTCAGAGAATCAGAGAATCAGAATCAGAGAATCAGAGAAAGCTTTATTACCAGCGCTCCAGCGAACCAGAGCATAGGAACTTGACTTCACAGAACAGCCTGACCAAGGTTACACACACACATGTAGACAGAACAGATACAGGCAGACCACGAGAGCAGCCATAACAGTGCTCATTTCAATTAGATGAAAAGGGGATTACATGAGGAGGGGGGGCTGGGATCCTGTTTCCTCAGCGCTCAGCCAACTGTATCCACAGGTGGGTGGGAGATCTTGGGAGGAGTGCAGAGCACATTGAGTTACTGCAGTTTGATGACCTCGCTAGGCAGAAGTCCACAATCTGAAGGCGGGGGGGGGGGGGGGGGGGGGGGGGGTAGGTCGGGTTTTCACAGCATCTGTCTGCATTCCTTCCATCGTGGGGGTTGTTGTTTGCAGCTCAAGACTGCCTTGGCGTCAGATTTGGATAACAAGACTTTGTTTGGCTCAGGCAGAGATAATTTTCCTCTCTGCCTTGAAGTCTGTATTGATCATTCAAGTCCCCCATTGAAGCCAATTCAGGTTTTAAACATCTCCACACCGTCCAGTGACCCTCTCCGAGATGACGTCCATTTTGCGCACTAATACCGGTAACGCAGCTTGGACATTGTCCAGCTTACGATTCACCTCGAGTAACATCCCAGTCTGCGGTGCTTTCCGTGGGTGCGGGTTGCACTCCAATCGCTCCCGACTTCCCATATTTCCAGAAAACCAGATATCCTCCCACTCCGATCAGAAGAAATCCAGTGATCATCCAGCCAAATATCCACATGTCTTCGACATCCTCAATGGACAGCTGAGAGAGGCATACAATCCTCCAGACCTTCCAGGAATCGAGCGCATATCCCGCTGCGTGTGTCCCTTGAGGGCAAGTGGGAGCCCCCTCCTCCGTTCTCATCGTAGAAAAGATCTTATCAATCGCGTTGAATGACCAATTAATTAAATCCATTTCTAAAAAATAGGGATTTCCAGAAGAAATGCAGAGAAGCGCTCTGTAGGCAGACAGGACAAAGAGCCTTGGGGAAAAAAAGATAAGGGAGCAAAACCAGAAGCGTCTGTACTCTGTGAGTGCCGGAAGAGTACAGACTCCCTCCAAAGCCTAACTCTAAATCCTAACTTATACTTCTCCATCTGCTCTATTGAATCTCGCGCTCGCGATATCACTGCCCAGGACCGGAAATCATACAAGACCAGCTCTCCGCCTCACGGGTCCGGTTCCCTGAAGCCTGCTGAGTATTAACCGGGTCAGGAACTTCAAAGGATTGGTGTAAGCTGATGATGTGGAGATTCGTCTAGACTCTACCCAATTACATCTGAGCGATATACCCTTTTTCATCCACAAATGTCTTCCAGTAGCTGTGAAGGAACTCATACAGACCTTTAACTGTGGATCTCCCCTTTTTGATTCTGGCTCTTGTCACAGGTCTAGGTTAATTTCTTTAACTTGAAAAAAACAGCTGCAAAACCAAGCACACCATTGTTTTTCTTGTGAAATTCCCAATACGTTTGATGTGTCACATAACCTTCTTCCTATTAAAAAAACAAAAGTTGGATCCAAGATGGCCGACTTAAAAATGGCCACCATGGTCACCACCCATCTTCAAAAGTTTGCCCCCTCACATATACTAATGTGCCATAAACAGGACGTTATTATCACTAACTATTCCCATTTTATTAAGGTGAATCCATATAAATGGCCCACCCTGTAGTTTGGTAAGTTTATAAAGCACAACTGTTAGCAAGGACAGGCAAAAAGCTCAAACATCACATTTGATTGGTTTATTTCAGATCAAATATCAACAATACTAATAAATCAAAATTAATAGAATTAATTTACTGATGTTGTTCACACTCACATTCATTGCAGGTCTGAAACCGCTAAACTCTTTTTGTAAATAATCTTTAATTCTAAATCAACTCTCAGCTACTTAAATCATTCAACTTGGTTAAAATCACACTTCTGATTGTCTAAAATCATTTTTCCTTTTGATTATTTAAAGGGACTTTACGGAGTTTTGAATTTTTATGCCCCCTCAGGCCAAAAGCGTAACGGCAGCTTCAATAATAGGCTCGTGCACGAGGCGTGCATGCTGTACGTGCACACTCTTTCACAAAAATAACAGCTGAGACAGTCCCTTGTGTGTGTGTGTGTGTGTGTGTGTGTGTGTGTGTGTGTGTGTGTGTGTGTGTGTGTGTGTGTGTGTGTGTGTGTGTGTGTGTGTGTGTGTGTGTGTGTGTGTGTGTGTGGGAGGGTGGTCCAGAGGACAGGAGAAGGTGCAGCTAATGAATCAATTAATTTGGTTCTGTACCTTTCTCTTCAGCACAGCCAACAAAATGAAAGTTGAACCCTGAAAGTTTAACCCTAACCAAAACAAAGCTGAAAAAATGAAATCACTGAGTTTTAGTGTCAGTTCATGACCCAACTCATCTTTCTCAAAGAGGAAGCTTTGTTTTTAAAACCCTCGCTTTGGCGTCAGACTCTGGCTGCAGGTCTCCTTTTCCCGTCTTCCAGCTAACCAACGGAGCTGTCAGCTGGTCATTCATCCTTCTCCTCCATAAGAACCCACTAAACTACAGAGAAGTAACAATCTGGCACAGATCGCTGCAGTATCTAGACTTTAGCCGTGAATTCTGTCTCACTGCTCCGCTCTGTGTGACAGCTCACACCCGCTGTCATGGAGCTTCCTCTGTCCCCCTGCAGTAAAATGCTACTGGACCATCCTTATCAGCTGAATATGTGAAATTTCCACCAACAGCAAAGGGATCTCATGTTTTTGTGTTTTATTTTTTATGTTTGTGTGCTCATCTTCTCACACATACTCACAGATCACAGAATCACGGTTTTTCCACTTAATCTAATGGTCTATAAATGTAGGTTAATTACTTTTAGTATAAGGGTTAGGGTTTAACTTGGGCTATTAACAGAAAAAAAACTGGTTTGTACTTTATAATCTGTATTTTTAACATGAATGCAAACTGAAGCTCAGAGAGGCAGGGTCTTGCTACTGTGGCGTCCCAAAGGTGTGTTTTCATTGGTCAGTTGCAGACAGGAGTTATAGGATTTTTAACCAGTGCTTGAAGACCTTTTGAAGCTGATTTGGTAGTGAGACGGCTCAAAAAGCTGTCGCAGAGCCGGTCACGCTGTCCGTTCACAGCATGGTGCACATATATGCAAGTCATCCTGATGTTGACCGGTTTTTGTCACGATTCTGCTCAGGATGAGGGATTTGGCAGAGACGACCAAAAATCACACAGTGTGATCAAGGCATTAGGATGCCTCCTGGACGCCTCCCCCAGGGAGGTGTCTCAGGCAAGTCCTGCCAGCAGGAGGCCCCCTGGTCGACCCAGGACACGTTGGCTGTCTGGGCGAGCAGCCCTTCCAACACCAAAATAAACTGCATGCAATGCAAAATGTGTGTTTTAGCATGCACATGTGCTACAGTAATTCATAAATGTCTCAGTAAAGAGAAATCAGATCAATTTTAGCGAGCCACAAACAACGAACAGCTACACAGAATGCAACACTGTGCAACACCGTAAGGGACGAGTCAGTCCTACCTGTAATAAATGCCACACAGGAAGTTTTCTTTATAATTAATTTAAAATAATTTAAATTTCATCTAAAGGTTGGCGACATCATGATATTCACAAAATTCCCATGAATCATTTCTTGCCTACAAAAAAAATCTTATGTTGAGCTGATTTCATGATGTTATTGCATCCGCTACACAGAGGATTATGTGCATGCACACTCCCATTAGTCATCATCACACATTGGTGAAATGACATCTTCCCATTTGACCAATCACTGAAGATGATGAAACTCATGTTAACAGTTGTTTTGCTGAAAAGTTTGTTTTAATCAGCAGAAGATTAGAGATCATTCTGTTTAAATAAAGGTTTTAAACATAATGAATCTGCAAACGTGGTTCCTGATATAGTCGAATGGTTTTTCTGTTTTTCATCCAGAGTACTACTATGACCAGGAGGACCGGACAGATGAAGAGGCAGAGCCAACCTTCTCCGAGGATGAGGCCGTCAGTCAGAAAGGACTGAGGAGATCGCAGAGTGTAAAGATCACCAGATCTAGACTCCGCAAAGATGTAAGTCCTGTTTCAGACAGCCTCCCTAGTAATCCACAACTGCATACAACCGGGGTTTGTGTCTCCACTGAGTGTTCTGGTTGATTTTGTTTCCAGGCTCGGTACGGCTCTCTGAAGATTAAAAACAAGAAGAGACCTGCTCTGAGCTCGCTGAACTCAGGAGTGTGAGCAGACTCCTGCTGGTGTGTGCGGCTAGGTGCTTCTCCTTCACTCTTGGAGCTGAGCTTTCTGGTGACATATTTATTACCTGGACTTCCTTATCCAATTTCTTTGTCTTTTTTTTTACACAGTTTAGTAAAAAATGTTTTTTTTTACCTGATATGTTTCATCTAGTATCTTTAGCCATCATCAAAGTTCGCCGGTGTCGGTGGCGTCACTTCCTTTTATCTGCGGGCAGCAGAGGACGGTGTCGCCCTCTACTGCCCGCTTCCTCCTTGCTGATGACACTGTCCAATGCGTGATCGAGTGTGAATACGCCATCTACTCGGTTCATGGTTTTGTGCCCATGTCTCTTTATTCCTTTGGCCTTCTTGGTCCATCTTTAGTATTTTTGTTGCTCTGTGTTTATGATCTTTACACCGTCCCAGTCCATTATATGATTTTCTCTTGTGCAGCTGATTTCTGCTTTTTGTCTGGCTGCTCTTGTATGTCCTCGACTTGTTTCCCTCTCGCACGCTTCTTCACGCTTTGATTTTTGTGTGTTGAGTTGGCGTCCGGTTTCTCCTGTGTATGTTTTATTGCAGAGTTTGCGTGGTATTTTGTTTATGACTCCACATCTTGTATTTGCTGATATATTTTCCTTTGGGTGTACTAGTCTTTTTCTGACTATTGTGTTAGGTTGTGTTGGTGTGTTGATATTATGCTTTTTCATTGTTGTGATTATTTTTTCTGTTATGCCTTGGATAAGTGGAAGGGTTATTACTGGTTTTGGTTCTGGTCTTTCTGTGTTCCTGCTTCTTCTTTTTAGTTTGTTTTTCTTTTCTGTTGTTGTTTGTAGTTTTCCTTTTTGTATTGCCCATGTTGGGTATTCACAGGTTTTTTAATGCGCTTTTTATTTATTGGTCCTCTAGTTTGCTATCTTGTTCTTCTGTTAATTTAAAAAGGAAGTGACATCACCATCACCTGCAGTCTCTGATGATGGTTAGAGATACTAGCTGAAACATGTTAGGGGAAAAAAACAATTTTTTACTAAACAGTGTAAAGAACGAACAAGAAAATGGATATTCATTACCTCTTTCAGACCAAACCAGAACCAGCAGCTGTGACAGACATTGGTCTCAGAGCTTTATGGTGTACGTGGCTTTCTCTGGCTCCCGTTTTTAAATTAGGATTCTTAAAATTGATTTGTCATTTGTACCGCTTTCACACAAAATATGTCAATAGGCCAATAGAGTTGAGCTAATGGCGTTAATGTTACTTAAATGTTTTACTTTTAGAAGCTTTTTTCAATCATTAATAGGAACTAAAATGCAGCAAGTTCTTGAGCTTAAGTATGGACTCAGGTGCGTTCATCATCTGGGTGGATAAGTCATCAGATGGGTTTTAATGTTTCATGTACAGATGTACAAATTGCATCTTATGCTTTTAAAATCTGTTTGCCTAAAATAAAACCTCATGTGCACCTGGAGGTGAACATGTGACAGGAGATCTTCTGTGATGTTCTCCTCATACATTCATTCTGTTAAGACTCCCCTCTTTGGAACAAGGTGCCAGTTCTGCTTTTGCTGCCTTCCACTTAATCCACCTGTCTAACCCCTACTGCACACTGGAAGCAAAAGCGGCGCGGTACGGCACGACAATCACTCCACTCAAGTGTTTATGTTTATGTATTTAGCAGACGCTTTTGTCCAAAGCGACTTACAAGTGATAATCGGCATGTTGCCCTTGAGGCTAACAACAAAAAGAACAACAACTCAATGTCAAGTGCACATTGGCAGTCTCAGCAGCGAAGCGGCTTCTCTGCCGTGCTCCTCGCTTGACTCGTGAGATCACAATATCCCTCGAGGTTTCCCCCAGCCTCCTCACGAGATCACACGATCCCTTGAGACTTCAAAGGTTACGGTTTGAATATGCCATCCGCCATTAAACCAAAAAGAAGGAAATCACATTTCATGTCACTAAAGTTATATGATGATGTTCCTCTCCAGTGCCAGGAATAAACCTGTGAAATACACGCCGCTGCACTTCTGGAACGATGCTGTGAGTAAGCTGTGAGGTCACACTTAAGCTTCATATAAATGGAACTGCATCGCTGCAATACTTTTATTTTTAAAATGACCAGGGATTTTACACTGAAACTGTGTGTGATTTCCTGTCTAGCCCAATGTTAACTGCGGAAACTGATGTATCCCAGAAGTGACTCATGGAAAAATAGAACCTGATCCTATCTTTAGCAGTGTGCCACCTCTGGGACAAATTGCCGCGTTGCAGCTGGTTTGTTACACTCCATAATGGATTCTATTTGAAGCAGTGATGTTTCTGTTACAGGCCAATTTACCGGGCTAGCTCCACTCTGCTAGATGTTACTAATATCTCAGGGTTTGACTTGTAATCGATGTAGTGAGCGTGACAATGCCAGCTACCAACAAACACTCTTACTCTGTAGAGTTGATCAGCAATCACCACAAACCCAGAGCTTCTAATTCTGACCAAAACTAGTTCAAGCAGACAAAGAGGAGGTGCAAACACACCTACACACCCTTCCCGTCCATGAAGCTTATGTACACTTCAGGTTAAGACCCTTTCCAGCTGTTCCTTTTATGCTGAGGAGACAACTGACTTTACCTGTAGCCTAGGATGGAGGAAACACTTATATCAATTACACCTTGGGATGGCATTTACAACCAGCATCTCACCTTTGCTCGGTTACCGACAGGAGGAGACCCCACTCGTAAATCCTTTTTTCATTTTAGAATCCGCGGAAATAGGTTTTATTTCACACAGATGAAAAAAGAATAATAATCCAAACGAAACCCAGACAAAGCGTGTAAAAAAGTGAAACAACTCTTTGCCAATAAACCAAGTCATAGCAAAGTTGAGCTGAAAAATGACACTAGGTCAGATTATCACAGACAAAAAGCTCAAAGCAAAAGCTTCCTTCTTTCCATCTCTGTACCTCACAAACTCTTCCTATCAAAAGGCCCTCTCCTCCTAGAAAATCTCAAAAGCCTTTCTCCAAAAAGCTCAGTCCATGACTGACTGACTCTCACTTCATCCCATCAAGCTCAACTCTTGAACAGACCCAATATCTTCCTTTTATGTTCCATGTTCAGCGCCTTGGGCTTCCTGACAGGGTTGCGGAAGGCGCTTTATAAATAAAGCTTTGATTGATTGATTGATTTTATTCACTCTGTCCCCTCCCTCACAGTCATTTCTTTGTTTGCTGCTTCAGACTTCCTGGTCACGTGTTCCTCTTCTTCTTGTTACTTCTCCAACGGCCCCAAAGAGACCGTAATTCTTGGATGTCATGATGTCACCTTTTCTTCTCCCAGTCTTCATCCGTTCACATGTTTCTTCTTCTCAGCACCTCCTGCAGGCTTCCTTTCTTCTCCTTTGGGATTACATCACCTCCTCTCGTAGCCATTGGTCAGTAGAGGGAGACGTGCGGTTACCCCTCCCTTTTCTTCTTCCCAGGATCAAATGGTCATCTCCAGCATTAGCTGGACAAGATGTCTTATTTATATGTTTATAGCATCTTGACCAACTCCACAGCGGATAAGATAACATACATGCTTACTCTCAACATCTGTTCAGGTCAAAACAGGTTATATCCACAACATGAATCGTTTGACCATATCAGCAGAGTGAAGGCACATCACTAATTTATGACATCACAGTTCAGGGGGCTAGAAGACTGCCTGGACACACACACACACACGATAAGAGAAGGTAACAGGCCTTTAGCTTGGTTTCACACACACACGAATACACCTTGTAGAGCCTAGAATTGATTTCACATAATGAGAGACATAATCCAGACTTAATTCCATACATTAACAAGTCTGATTATATTCCATACAACAGTTTCGCTGCCATTCCACTCCGCTTTTGCTTCCAGTGTTCAGTTGGCATCAGTTTTTGGTTGTATCTCACAACACTAAGCAGGATTAGATGTGACCTGTAGGGACTTGGTCCATAAAAGAACTTCTATAGAAGGACGGTGTTTAGGTTCAGCAGGTTTCTGACACTAAACTTCAGCTCTCGTGTACTCACTATTTTCATTCCATGCCTTTCACTTCTGTGTTTTATAAAATGTGTGGTTGTAAATCTCTCGCTGTAATTCGTACTTTTATCTAAGATGCTTTGATGAGGAGTTTTTTGTATTATGACTACCAGATTTGCACATAAACATGGTTCCAAATGTCATCTATCTATGCTGTGGCTCAGCACCTCGGAGGCTCCTTGTGATTTAGCAGAGAAAGTGTTAAATGTCTCATCAGTAGTGTGGTTTTGCAGACCCAATCAGGGTGTTCAGTAGGGTTGGGAATCGTAAACCGGTTCTTGTTGAGAACCGGTTCCCATTTGTTCAATTCCTATGAATCGTTTGCCACTTTTGCAAACCTTATCAATTCCGGCTGGCACGAATGATGTAACCACGCACTTAAAGCTTACGGAAGCAGAAAACATGGCGTCAGCAGCACAGACGCTCGAAAGTTTGGTTATATTTTACAAGAAAGCATGACAACGGGGTAACTTGCAATAATTGCAAAGTAGATATTTCATCAAGGGAGGAGGCACTACGAATATACAGCATTTTGGGCACAAAATACGCTAAAACTTAAAAGTTATTGATGTGTTTTGACCCACTCTGGACTAGTGAATATCAGCGCAGCAGCAGCAGCGGTGACGTTCGCATATGTCCTCTCCTGTTTATACTGCAGGCCTAATGACTAATCAACTAACACTGTTTATCATGTTAGCCTGGTTTACCTCATATACACACCTCCACACTAGCAGACTCCAGCGACAAGGGTCTGACCTGTGGTGAGATTTTTGCCACTCTAAAAGCTACAGTAACACTGCACCGAACAAGAAAATGACTCTGCCTTCACAGGGAGCATAAAGGAGAACATTTGGAAAGATGCTTCCAACTGATACAGTTACAACTGATTATCATAAAAAAACTGACAGTTATATTGCAGGAGTCAGTTAGTTTTTTTCCCACCTGTTTAACTGGAATTGATAAGAGAATTGATAGGGAATTTGATCGATAGGCAGAATCGACAATGCCATTGATATTGATAATAACTTATCAATTCCCACCCCTAGTGTTCAGCAGAAAAAAGCTGCATGTCCCGAAATGATGAATGATACCAAAGCTTGAGCCTGTGTGCTAGTGTTTTATTTGTGCTGATAAAATGAGGCATGTGGTTTGCTGAAACTTGTATACAAATAAAGGGTTATGGAAAAACAATGATTTATTGTTCCTGATGTTCATAAACCACGTTGCAGAGGTGCATCAGGCCCAGGTTCTGCTACATCTCTGTGACTGTAAGGTCTGTGTGGCTGGTTGCTTTAACTCGAGGATGTTCTGAACACCAGTCACATTAATTATAATTAATCACAAAGTATCTTTAACATTAAAACAATTTTAATGATAACAAAAACATCAGTTTCTACTGCATTTGTGTAGGCTCGAGGAGGCCCAATAAGCACTGGGACCATCTCAGTCCTGAAGCTGGTCCAGCTGAGTGATCATGGGCATTGTGAGACTAATTTTGTGTGTGTGTGTGTGTGTGTGTGTGTGTTGGGGGTGGGGGTGGGGGGGGGGGTGGGGGGGTGGGGGGTCTAGATAGACTTAGTAAAGTTTTTACTTCTCACATGAGGGATGGAGAGATTCGCTGATCTAAACCGGTGGTTCGTTCATGATGTTAGCAATGCGACTGCACCAGTAGCTTCATTGTGCACCAGTTACAACTGATGGATGTATCGCAATATACCAGGGGTGTCAAACTCAAACTCACACGGGGCCGAAATGAAACTCTGGGACGGAGTCAAGGGCCAAACTTAATATTTTTTGAAAAAGTGACGGCAAATTTGCACATTTTTTTTTATCAACATATATGCAATTTTGAATCTTTAAATTTGGAAACAAACATATTTCTGCATTAACACTGAATGTGGAATAACCAAATTACACACGAGCAAGTCAGTTTTAAATAAAAGGCATCAGTGGTATTCATTACTTGTGGTATAATCAGCATTTTAAAAATCTTTTAAATCTTTAAATCTTTTCTCACGGGCCAACAACAAAATAAAAATATCATTTTATCTTAAATGAAAATGCAACATCTCACCTGTTAACTTTCATGTTTTGGAGCAGAAAAAGAGCATAAAACCAACATATTTAAAGCTCAGTTTGCTCCACTGGTTTACTGTGATGCTCACCTGTTCCAGCCAGATACCTGCATCATGGGACTGATCTGAGCTGAGGAGGAGACTCCTGTTGTTTTGTTCATCTTCATCATAATAATGACAACATTAGATGACAACAGGTACTCACATAGGTTTGTGCTGCTGAACATGTCTGAGCAGCTTGACCACGTTGTGTGTCGGGGAGGAAACACAACGACAGCAGCCACAGAGCCGTGCTGGTTTGAGCGTGTCGCTGTTCGCTCTGTCTGGACGTTACTTTCTCTTTCAGTCGTGAACACCTTACTGAGTGGCTAGAATCTCCGTTTCTGGGCTTCAATGTCAGAAAATAGCTGAGTGAACTCGGCGCTGAGTGAGAGGAGTGTAGTTTGTCCGAGACAGCGGAGCTGCAGACACCGGCAGCAGGCGCTGGAAAAAACACAAAGGAGGGGGCGCGTCGCTCTGCGCTGACGCCGCAAAGCATCATGGGAGTTTAAGTCTTTGCGGTAAAATCGGCCAGCGGGCCAGTTTCAATATATTTTTTATATTTATTTCGCGGGCCACATAGAAATGCTCCGCGGGCCGCCTCTGGCCCGCGGGCCTTGAGTCTGACGTGTGCAATATTCCTTTCCATGCGTGTCTCTCGTCAGTAAAAACCATGGTTACATTCATTACTTCTTAGTTTACCTGCTATGTCTTAGTTTTTTTAGGCACGTTGAATGTGATAGCGAAAGCCAGGTGTGGGAGCGTATTGGGACAAGGTTAACCAACGTACGTGCTTCCTGTACTGGCTAAAATAAAATAAACTTCTCTGTGACAAGGTCTCTGGTTTCTGCTGCAGCATATTTTTAAGAGCATTCTTATTGATCTACACACCTGAAGCTTTGTGTGAGGTCATTTAAGATATCCTTTGGGGTGAGCTGGGCTCCCTTTAGCTCACCCGTAATTCAAACCCTGCATATGGCACAAGTTGATCGAGTGAGTTGCCGGAACGGTCCTTTCAAAATAAGACAGTTCCCGGATCTTGTTCCGGCAAGATCTGGCTCAAATTAAGCCCTGCAGTCGGGTGTCCAGCAGCCTTCCTCTGCTAGGGATGTTTTGTTCTTCCCTCTACCAAAACAATTCCGATTAACCATCCCTAGCGGCACCATCTAGAAAGTAGCCATAATAAATTCCTCCTCCTGGCTTTATCTGAGCTGCAACTCCAAGGTCCATGCAGAAGACGTGACTAACTCTTTATAAATTGATTTCTTTAAATTTACAGGTTTACAATCATATTCTGTGTTATCTATAATGAATGTTCTATCTAAAGTGATTTCATAATTATCAGTTGCATTCACACAGACATCAGGATATTAACAAATGAATGATTAACAGACTTACTTTATATTTTAAGTGAAATAAGCATCACTGAAAGGGGAGTCGCTGAGGGTCTTGGTAAACACCTACACAAATTTCTCAGATCTGGTTGGTCAAAGTTTATAAACAACCATTTAAGTGAACTCACCTCCTATTTTAGTCAGTTCTGCCCATAGGCGTCATTTTAACCGGGGACGCCGGGGACATGTCCCCGGCAAAATTTGTGATTGGCAGCTGTGTCCCCCCACTTTCAAAAAAGCCTGCTGATGAGGATTTTTGTTTTACCAGCTCAGATCTTATACCAGGGGTCGGCAACCTGTTCCCATCAAAGAGCCATTATTACCCATTTCCCCACAGTAAAGAAAACACCGCAGGAGCCGCGGCGTTGTGGGCGGGGCCTACCCTCAGACAGCAGAGAGCTGCTCTCAACCAGGTGACAGCAGCAGGTACCGGTCGCTCGCATGGACATCGCACCCGTGGGGGATTCAACACCCACACTTTTCCAGCTGTTTTGCTCACCTCCATACCAGTCTGGTTTCTTTATGTAGCACACTCACTCTGTTTGCCTCATCTCCTTCTTCACCTCCCTCTTCTGACAGCCAGTGTCGGGTTTCCAGGAGAGCAGGAGAGGGAGGGACGGAAGAGCTCGACTGAATTCATAATTTTACATCTTGACATTAGCTGTACAAAGTCTGAGTTTGATAACGTGAAGAACAACAATTTGCAGAGGTTTATAACTGGCGCGGCGCCAGGTTTTCATTTTTGGGTGGGCCACGGTAATTTTGGACGGACCTTAATAAGCAGTGACTTAAGTGAAGCAGGCAGGTCGCGCTAGAAAATTTCGTTTAAAAATACGTCATGAATGTATTCCCTCGTCATTTTTATTTATAAAATATGAAGTAAAAACTCCCAGTTTAATTTTCATTCATTTGTCATTAATATGTAGTCTACACCCGTGCGTTAAGTGGACCATCTTCCAGTAAAAGCAAAGCATCCGGCCCACCTCTCCAAATGCGTAAAATGTGCACCACAGCCGTTAGGCGCGCCGCGCGCACCGTCAGCTACATCAGTCCAGACAAGAGCAGAGCAAATAGAATAGAGGATCATTCCGTCTGGATGTGGATGGAGATTACATTTTACAGCAGCCTGATCATCATTTAAATACGTAACCCATCACCTGTCTTCTAGTCCACGCTATCAGCATTATTTTAATTGGTGTGTGTGTGTGTGTGTGTGTGTGTGTGTGTGTGTGTTTTCCACTTCCAACACTGGTCTAACCAACCAGACCAGCGTGTCCAGTAACACATTAATGTTACAATTAAACAGTTTCACTTCATGTAGGCTAGGAACATTTCACCTGCCGTGGCCCGACCGCTTCTGCTCCACACGAACTTTGTGCGTAATCAAATGTCTCTGCAGGTGCTTTCTGAGCTGCTATTCTGCCTCAGACTGGATGCGTCATGCGTCTCCATAGACGGGAAAAAGCGCTGTTCAGCCAAAGTTTCATAATTTCATAAAAAGAACATTTTTCCAAGCTCATCCATGCGCATCAGTGTGCGTCGGGGTAATTCTTTCAAAACAGCCAGCATCCTTGAGTTTATCCATCAAAATACAGTCAAATGGAAATATCTGTAACCTGCCATTTAACTGTTTTGCCTTCTTGTGAAGATTGTTGCAAAGAGAAACAGTTAAACTTGGTTAACCCCAGAGCCATGCGCACTGCGCTGTACTTCTGACTGTAAATGAGGGGAAAACGATTTAATCGGATCCTTTTCTTTTCAACATGGTTTCATGTAAAGTTTCATTCAGTACAAACTTTAGTTACACCAATCTAACGAGACAGAGCCTGGATTTGTATTCTGAACAGTTTACACATGTTTAAAACAGAGACGTGCGTGACGCGTCTAAAATTCGCACCTGCTCCGCTATTATGGAAATTAAACTAACAAGGTGAATAACATCAAATTATTTTAGGCACAGACAACATCCCCCACACTTTTGAAAATCTTGCAACGCGCCTGGTCGCTCTTGTACGTCAAAGTTATCTTTCATAAGAAGATAAAACGATTTATATAAAGATGATCCAGAAGTTGTAGCCCGTCTACAATATTTTGATATTTTTCACCCTGTTGGTGGTTTTACTGAGCAGGTGCCACTTTTGTCATACGTTTCTTTTAAAAACATGTTTAGACTGTTCAGAATACAAATCCAGGCTCTCAGAACCAGAGCGCATGTGAGAAGGTTCCTCCCACACTGAAGCGAGTGTTTTCCAAACCCTGTCTCTCAGAGAGACTTGTCACTTAGAAAATGTTCCCTGATTATGAAACTTTGGCTGAATAGCGCTTGTTCCTGTCTCCAATGTGGCGACGCGTCCAGGAGCCGTCTGAGGAGAATCCCAGAATCTGACATCCTCCAGCTCAGGAAGCGCATATGATTACGCACAAGCGTGACGCGTCAACCCGGTCTCACAGTAAGACCGGGTCGGAACTGTTCAGGTTTACGCAGATAATCTTTACATTTAGAATTAGCATACAGATGTAAAATTAATGCAGTAAAATATAAAGCATTTTATTTAAATATCAATTCATTATTTTAAGAGCACAGAGAGCCGCATCAGATGGATGGAAGAGCCGCATGCGGCTACAGAGCCGCCGACCCCTGTGCTAGCCTATATTGTCCCCAGCAATTTTTAAACCCCACTCA